TTTTTGGATATATTTCATTTTTATACATATTAATACATTTTTGACAAAAAGGGGGAGAAAGAAAAAGATATTTTCAATAGCGGATTACTGAGACATAAGTCTCAATCATTCTAATCTACATAAATTCTCTTTTCCAAAAAGCTTGAACAGGTACAAAACTCTGCTGAAAGATACAGTAAGATTCTGATGCTCAAATATTCATGGAGTTAAAAGGAAGTAATCAACTCAGGGGGAGTTTTTCTACTTAACTCTATACTTTTTGTTCCTTACTCTTTATTGAAAAATCTGGTTTTTGTCATCATCAAAAAGGGGGAGATTGTTAGAACATAGTTTGATTCTACAACCCTTGAGTAAAGTTTTGATGATAACAAAATACAAAGAATAAAATTATTCCTAAGGTATATACAAAGAACAATTATGCTCCTGAAAATTATGCTATGTATATGCAGAAGCTCTGATAGAATCAACATCAGAATAGAAGCAGCATCAGAAGATCAGCAACCTATGTTACACGCTGAAACACTAAAGTTTGATGATCAGAATCTGCGCCTAATCAAATACACTCTGACTCTGATTAAAGACATCTTTTCCAAGTCATCTACACTCTGAAGCGTTATCAGCAGAAACAACAAAGAAGATTCTGAAGCGTTACTAGGCATTCAAGACTGAATTAAATACTAACGGCTTTGTTCAGACAAAGATCTTCTACAAAAGGAAAGTGCATTATTATCATTAAACCTGCTTTATGGACAACGTATTTTTGTTTGCCTATATAAACAGTACTGCTTGTGAAAAGAAGCACGCATGTATTCACACAATTTGCCAAGCCTTCCAAACCACGCATATTCAAAAGCTTTAGCAAATTCATTTTATTCCAAGCTTAATTTGTGTAACTATCACAGTTGTGATATACTGTTTTGTTAGAAAACAACAACACACTCTTGTTCATTTCTTGTAAAAGATTTCCTTGAGATAAACCGGTTTGTGGTTATACTCAAGAAGACTTTAACAGTTGTTAAAGTAGTTGTTGTAATTCTTTGAGAATAGTGGATTAAGACCTCATTGGAGAGAGGCGAAATCACCTTGACGGGTGGACTAGAGTAGTTTGAGATCAAACGAACCAGGATAAAAATACTGTGTCTTAAAGCTGTTTATTATTTGATCCAAGTTTTTCAATTCAACCCCCCTTCTTGTGTTTTTCACATCTTCAGATATTCTTCATGATGAGAGGTGCCTACAGCAGCCTTTCCCCTTCCTCTTCCTTTTGTTTTAGAAAGCATTCTTTTAGGAAGAATTGTTTTAGGAGGCATAGTGTGGTAGATGGAGAAGAGTGTTGTGAGGGATTTGAGATGTATGTTGTGTGAAGAGTGAAGAGTGATGCATGAGAGATGAACAGAAAATTAGGGTTGGTCATAATTTAGGTTATGAGATGTATGAGGATGTTTTGAGAATGAATTAAGTTGCATAATGGGCTGATGGGTTGACACAAAAACAAAAAAATTCAGTTTGGGTCGATGCGAAGGGTCATGGAGCGATCCAAGAAAGACATTTCAAAAATCCACATGTGTACATACTGAATTAATTTTGAAAAATAAGAAATGACAGAGTTATGGATCGACGCATGCTTTTAATGCATCGACCAAATTTCTTGGTTTTTTCCTATATTTTAGTTCATCTAAAGGACAGTAAAACCTCAAAAGAAGAAGAAAAGGGAAAGTAGAATAGGAATAGGGATTTACCTGGAGGTTTGTGCAGAATCTTCTGTTTACGACCATAAAAGAAGCAGATATTATGATCAATGAATTAGTGATAGCTAATCAGTCAATGAAGATTGATATAGAAAAACTGAAAGAAAGAGAAGTCACATTGCTCAGTGAGAAGGATGTATTATTCAACAAGGTTGAGATCTTACAGACCGTTGTTGATTTGAAGAATCAGGAGATAGAAGACCTTGTTGAATCAAATCTTATAGAAACAAAGGACTTAGTAATGGAAGTGGATGATGTCATTAACGAGGTCCAGTTGGAGATGAAGGAAAATTTTACCTCTTTCGTTTGTGATATAGAATCCTTGAAGTCTCAATTTATATATTCCACTAAGTCAATACAACAATGGCTTGAGAAGATCTGGTCTGAGATAGTTAATAAAGATTGTGCTATGTCGGTATTACATCTCTGTCACATGAGTGTTCTTCTGGAAATAGTAACGGGAATGCATGCAGAAAATGGCTTGCTTTCGCATGGCTTGTGTGAATCAAACTCTGTCATAAGTGATTTGAAGGAACACAATTTTAGAACAAGGGAAAAGCTAGAAATGTGCAGAATCTTGAAAGGGAAACTGCTTGCTAATATCTAGAATAGTTTTGATCGCATCACTAGGAAAGAAGTGGAAGCTGGAGAGATCACTGTCAAGCTAAACACTTTTGCTAAAAACTTATCACATCTATAACTTCAGGAGGAAATGATGCTACAAAGGTATAATGAAATGGGGTCTCAACTTGCTACTTTGATGAGGGAATTGGATCTGAGTAATATCGATTTTGTGGTATCCCATTTAGATCAAGAGAAACTACTGAAGCAGAAAGTAGAAGCCATTGAGTCTCAAGCTAAATTTCTTATGGAAGATTGGTACGCCAAAGACTTTGAGTTACTCATTCGTTCTTCTGAATTCAGTAACATGGCCTGTAAAATATCTGATATGGAGGAGCATTTTGTCAAGTACTCTACACTAGTTAATCAATTGAAGGCAGAAACGATATTTTTCCAGGTAGAAACTGAGTTAGCAGAACAAATTTTGATGGACAGGGAAGTTGAAGTTTCCCTTCTAAAACGAAAAGTTCAGCAGGAAAAAGAAGAAAAACAAAACTTATTGATGGAGTTGAAGCAGAACAAATTAAGGATTACAAAGATGGGTGAAGTAAGCAAAGCACTTGAACAAAATCTTCACCTTCTAAAGGATACTGAGCGCCAAGCTGAGTTTTTAATGGCAGATTGGTACGCCAAAGACTTTGAGTTACTCGTCTGCTTCTGAATTCCGTAACATGGTCTGTAATATATCTGATATGGAGGAGCATTTTGTCAAGTACTCTACAATAATTGAACAGTTGAAGACAGAAACGATATTTTTCCGGGTCGAAACTGAGTTAGCAGAACAAATTTTGATGGATAAAGAAGTTGAAGTTTTCCTTCTAAAATGAGAAGTTAAGCAGGAAAAAGTAGAAAAGGAAAACTTATTGATGGAATTGAAGCAAAACATCATAAGGATTACCGAGATGGGTGAAGCAAACAATTCAGTGTTCTTCTATAGAACCAAGTTATCGCACTGGTATAACACCCGAGCAAACTGCAAAAAGAAGATGGAACGACTTGAGCAAGAGAACAGAGAGCTACGTGAGGAAGTTGTTACTTTGAGGACGGGAATAGAGCGTCTCACTACTCTGGTTGAGACACATTTGGCTGCTCAGAATCAGAATCAGAATCAAGCTCAGAATCAAGTCAACCTCCAAGTTCATAATTAGTCGCAAGTACAGATTCCTGTGATCTCAAAGGTTGTTCCCACGGTAATTCTTGCCAATGTTGATCAACAGCGTATGCCTAATGGTTGTCCCTGGGGCATGCCCGAAGGCTATTTACCGGTTCATGAAGTGACTCGTCCTGTGACGCCTGTCATGGTCACTGGACCTCCTATTATGCATACCGTTCCGTTTGCTCCAGAGCATGCTTATGAGGTTGCACCAAGTGATGGTTTGGGTATCTATGATAGGTTGGATGGTTTTCAAGATCAGTTCGAAGAATTGCAGAAAGAGATGAAAGCCCTTTGAGGGAAAGAGTTGTTCGGAAAGAATGTGCATGATCTCTGTCTTGTTCCCAATGTGAAAGTGCCTGCAAAGTTTAAGTTACCAGAGTTCGAGAAGTATAAAGAGAATTCTTGTCCTCAGGCTCACCTAGTGATGTATGTGTGAAAGATGTCCACTCACACCGATGATCAACGTCTATTGATTCATTATTTTTAAGACAGTTTGGCTGGAGCCACTTCAAAGTGGTATATGGGTCTTTATAGCACTCATATTCGCTTACATGTTGCCTTCTATGATCTTTTGGCAGTGTACATTTTTCTCGTGTTTGGATTCATACATTATTTTAAAATTTTTTATTTTTTATTTTTTTTTAATTGTAAAAAAATGTAATAACTCGTGGATTCGCACAAAATTGATCTGGCCATCGAGCATTCGTACGGGTACTGGTGCACTACTCGCATATGCTTCTAAAATGTAATGAGTAAAAAACAGAAAGACAAAATTATTTAACAAATTTTTTTTATTATTATTTAAATAATAAATTTGTTTTGAGATTATTTATAATAATATTTATGCAATCATTTCATTTTTTAAATATCACGTAATAACATAGTATTTGAAAATATTATTTTAATTATATAAATAAATATTAGTAACATAAATAATTACGTTTTGGCTGTGTTCAGATTTATACATTATTTAAAATATAGTTACTTTTAATTTCTTTAATTGTAAAAAAATATAATAACCCGTGGGGCTCGCACATATTTTAGTATGGATAGGGTGGCATAACGCATTGTGGTCCACCGGGCCGACTCGCATATCCATCAAAAAGTGGTAGATTGGATTGGGATTTTGGGTCTGCCGCGCCGCCCACCAATACCTGCCAAAGCTCGCCCGCTAATGTCCGCCCAGCCAAAGCTCTCAGCCTTTCAAAACCCGCCTAGCCTATTTGCTCAGTCCGTCCCTCTGTTTTGGGAACGCGTTGGAGGAAAAACGAACGTGAGATAAAGAGTCTTTCTAGATCCAATAGACTTCTTATTATTTATTAGTAATTTTTATACAAAGATTTAACATTCAAGTTCTACATATAAGGATGACTTGTGTTTATGTTTATGTTATATTTTTTAAAAAGACTTAATTTTTAATATTTCATAAAAAAATCTAATATTTAATAAATAAATATTATTACTTGGACCATGTGATGATTGGGCTATTGATTCAAGCCCACACCACCATTGATCAAACGCCTGCGTTTATGGAGGCTATGGTAATACCTCAGATGTTCTCTCACACACTCACTGCGTTTATGGAGCCCTCACCGCCGATCACCACCACTACTCACCGTTACAATCACTCGCACCGCCGTGTCGTGGATGTGGTTCACACAAATGGACACCTCTCATCGGTTTCCCACCCAATTCAACTCCATCTCCTTACGAGGTTCGTTCTTAGGGTTTTCTTTTAATACATTCATTGATTCATGCTTGCTTCTGTGTTTTTCAATTAAATTGAGATTGTTTACTTCACTCGTTCATGGTAAAATCGTTTTTAGTTGTTGTTGAATTTGACCTAAATTTTACTTTGAATTTTAGGACCCCGTATGTGACTGGATCATCTGTGATTGCAATCAAATACAAAGATGGGATTCTCATGGCTGCTGGTATGGGAGGTTAGAACCAAATGTTGATGCAACTTTAAACCCTACTTTGCATATTTCTCCTTTGAAGCATTGATTAAATCCTACTTTGCATATTTTAGTGTATGTTTGGTTTCACATGTGTAGAATTGATTTTGACATGTTTGATTTTTCTCGAGTAGAATTGATTCTGCTTTCCATAATTGATTCTACTTAAAGTTAGGGTTTGATTTTTAGCTTTTGAATCTAAAGTAATTTATACACTGATATTAACTCTTCAACTCACCTTCATAAGAATTTCTGCAAACAAAGATCACTTTACCTTCAACTCGCTCTTAGTCAGAATCAATTCACTCAGAATCAATTATTTTTACACAGAGCCAAACACATGCTTATTTAGTCTTAGGTCAAATTAATTGGAGTTTGATATCTGGCTGGAACATTACTTAGTTAGACTTCATTTATGTTTTGGTCGAACTTTGGATTATTATAGTTTTTTCCCTAGGAATTAGAGTATTGAGGCCCAAAAATGGTTGTGTTAGTTTGAATTAGTCTTAGCTTATTTGATAGAATTGAATCTTTCAATTGTTTTATTTTCATTTCAATTATTTTGTTGTAAAGCAAATATTTGATCATGAATTATATACCCTTGGTAAATTGTGATTCCTTGGAAGTGTTTGTTTTAGTATTAAACTAGTAATAATGTATGAATCATATTTGTGTTAGCAATATGAAGTTCAAATGCCCTTCTTGAAAATAATGGGTTCACTTTGTGTGTTATGTCATTGGTGGATGTACTGATAGGTTCCTATGGGTCTACCCGGCGATACAAGAGTGTTGAGCGGTTGAAGCCTGTTGGAAAACATTCCATTATTGGTGCCAGTGGAGAAATAAGTGATTTTCAAGAGATTCAACATTACCTCAACGAGCTTATGTAAGTCTCCTTTGGTTATTTCTCATAAGATAAAGACAAGAGAATTTGATCAGTTAACTTTTTTTGCGTATGCATTTGCTTGATTTTTATGTTATTTTCTTCAAACTTCACATAAATGAATTCATCTGTGTATCTCCCTCCTCAATTATTTTAGATTTGATTACTTCATTATTAATTGATTAATTCCTAATTCCAATCTAAAACCCCTAATTCATTACTAAAACCCCTAATTAATTGATTCATTACTAAAACATCGTAAAATCATTTTTCTGAAAAACCCCTAATTCCAATCTAATAGTAACATACAAGCCTTGTGATTAATTCTCCAAAACCCCTAATTCCAATATAATAGTAACATACAAGTAATTTTCACAATCGTACCAGCACTAATATATATACAAAATTAATTGATTAAGTTTTATTTTAAGATGAATTTTCTGTGAATTAACTCTTGATGAATTGTCGGTCTGCAGCTGGCTCCGTGTATTGTTGCAGGTGGTTCCGCTGAAACAGAGGTAGTATCTGGTATTGATTGGTGATGGAGGCTGATGCAGCAGATTTACAGAAAACAAAGGGTGTGGGATGGTGACCAGTTAGTGGAAGTTGGTGCGAAAATGAGGAAACAACACAGGGTTGTGTGAAAATGGAGGGGGTATATGAAAGATATGGAAGGTGGTATTTTGTATTGAGGGAGTATTGTTAATAGCTGGGTTTTACTAAGGTGACGATGGTTGAGAAAGATGAATGATGGAGTAAAATCTGGTTTTGGATGGTGAAGAAGAGGAGTATCAATTTATCATAATTTTTTTCCAATTACGATGTTTTAGTTTAGTTTCCCTAATTTTTAGTGGTTTGTTAATTAGTTGGTTATTAGTAATTGAACTTAATTCAGCTTGATGTTGCAACTTGTTGAATGAAAGTCTTCCTTATTATTGTCTCACAACCCTCCTCTCTCACTCTTGCGATGGGTTTTGATCTTGAAGAGAAAGCCTGGCGTTTGTTGAAGACCACTTTGAGTTGGCGGTCGAACTTCTCACTCTAGGTATTGTTCTTGATCCTACCAAACATGATCCCTCAAGCCAAGGTAATGGACTACGGAACTCTCCCACACTTCTGCAAAAAAACAAATTAATACGTTTTCTTCTTTTCAACTTCATCTATGTATAGTCAATTAAACTGATTTTTTTTTGCCTTAGCTTACTTATTCACATTGAATTTCTTTATTGGCTTTGTGATGGAAAAGAACTGAATTTTTTTTTTAAAATGATAAAAATCAATATTAAAATGGGAATATTTATGTGTATTCTTGTTTGCTCATTATTGATATTGAGTTTGGAGTAAGACCCTAGCTTTTGTTACTTTAAATGGAAAAGAACTAAAAATGTTTTTTTTAAATGATAAAAATCAATATTAAAATGGGAATATTTATGTGTATTCTTGTTTGCTCATTATTGATATTGAGTTTGGAGTCAGACCCTAGCTTTTGTTACTTTAAATTCATATATACTTTAACAAATCCTTAAAAGTACAATTTTTTAGTCTCCAAATATCAATTTTTTAAATTTTGTCTATATTTATACTTTTAAAGTGTTGATTGACTTGTTGATTTGACTTATACTTTTAAACTGCTACGCCTACACCCTTCCCTCTGTTACAGCCCCTTACCCCCTCTGTTTTTCTCTGCTAGCTTTTCTCTCTCACGGATTCCCAATTTTTTTTTTCACTTTTCATTCTCTCTCACGGTCCTCATCTTATTTCTCTTCTCATTCTCTCTTCTCTCATTCTCTCTCACCCATTTCTCACTTATATCCTCCCCATGAATATTCTATATATGGTATGTTGTTTCTCTGCTCCATCTTTTTCAACTTCATAACTTTTGTTTAACATTTAGTTAGCTGGATATTTGAATGAGTTTTAGCATGAAGTTATCTAAGTTTTGCAGTTTTTCTGTTATGTTCATGATACATTTTTTAGTGCATGTTTATGGTGATGTTAATGGAGCTATTAATGTGTTCATGGCGTTTTATCTTCAAGCATTCATGCTTTATGTTGTACAATCTGCTTTATATTGTGGGTGTTTATCTTCAAAGTAAAGAAATGTTTCACAGTTTTGTGTATTGTTTTTTTTTGTTAATTATGCCGAAGTTATTTCAGTGAAGTGTGTTTTACATACTGTTTTGATTACATTGTTTTGACAACCATGTTACATATAGTCTCAATGGATATTAAGATACGATGAAGTATATTTTACATACTGTTTCATTATTTTCTTAGGTTGTTGCATTTATGGTTGGAGTGGCCATAAGTGCATCTGTAATTTATTGCCTCATTCCGAAAGATGGCGGGAAGATCCTTCCGACTTCACCAGACACCACTTTAGCTGAATTATTTAAGCAGCATCCTCCACTCTCGGTGGAGATACAAATGCCACCATCTCCACCGTAGCTGACATCACCTAACGACTCAGTGGAAGAGCCGTTGCAACATCCATCACCCGATAATGACTCGATGGAAGAGCTGCCGCAGTTGTCATCTCCACCCACGCTGCCAACACCATCCATGCCGGTTCCATGGCGCCTACCTCGTATTGGTGGGCAATATCCTCCTGTTGGTTGGTACACCCGCAATCAGTTGGAAAAAATTGAATGTTGACTTTTCTAAGTTTTTTTAGATCTTTTTTTTGCATGTATTTGCTTAATATTTTGTTGGTGTTCAATTTTGATGTTGGACTTAGAACTTTGAGATCAAATTGAACATCATTTTTTTGTATGTTATGTTTATTTTGGATGGTGGTACTTGATGTTGAATAGTAACCTCTGTAATACCCACAACAAACAGAAATATTGGTATGAATTTTAAGTGAAATTGGATTATGCATGATTTGGTTATGTTTGAAGTAGAATTTGATTTACAGTAGAATTTGCAGAATAAGAATGCTTACTAGTGGCCTTGCATTAAAGGATTGGCACATAAATAAATCAATCACTACATTTTTAGTTTTACTATAATATTTCTGATGCTTACTGTAATTAATCAAACCATAAAAATTAGAACATAAAAGTCATAAACACAATTTTCTTTATATTAAGTAGATTAAAGTTTTGTACTCTACTTTTTAATAGTCACTTGATTTTGTTGAAGCCAACATGTATGTATGCCATCAATATCTCCATCTCACATGTATCTCATAAAAGAGTTTTGTCTATTTTTTTTTAAAACTTTTTTTTCTCTTTATTTATTTTTTAGTTTTCTTTCAAAAACAAACTATTAGTTAGATTAGTAATTAATTAGGTTATATTTTAATAAATAAATAAGAAAAGAAAAAAAAAAACTTATGATTAGAAAATACGTCTCATTTTTTTTGGTAGTGTATCTTACATTTTTTTCTTCTCACTTTGTTTCTTTTTATTACTTATTTATTATAATTGTTTAATTGAGATAATGATTAAGATTTTGAGAAAGATGGATGATTAAGATTTTGAGAAAGATGGTACGCTCACTCTCCCCATTTTTAGGATACTTTTTTTTTGTTTTAAATATTTTGAAATTTTAAATATTATAAATCTATAAATTTTATAATTTATTTTAACATTATATTTTATCAAGTGTAATATGTTAAAAAAAATTAAAAAATATAGTGTTTGGACTGGGTTATCGGTTCCTCTTCACACCTAAAAACACCTACATCAGACTATCATGTTTATCTATAAAAATAGGTTATCTCTTCAAATTGTCTTCTCAACTTTTGAAGAGATAAATATGTAATTTTGTATTGTTTCACGTTGCTCTTTTTTTATTTATTTTCTAAGATAAATATGTAATTTTGTATTGTTTCACGTTGCTCTTTTTTTATTTATTTTCTAAGGATCTTCAAAACATGATAACAATATAATTGTAATTAGGTATAAAATTATTATCATTTAAATTTCATTTCTTAATCATTTAAATTTTCTATAATTTACTACTTTTTATATTAAAATTAGTAACAAACTCGTGCGTACGCACGGGTTCTGGTCTGATACGCGCATTTGTTTATATAATATATTTATTTTAAATAAAAAGTTAAAAAAGAAAAAAATGTTTTGATCAATAATAAAATTTTTTCATATACTATTTTTAGATCATAAATACAATTTTTCATAAGGACAAGACCGCCATTCATCTGAACAGATTTTGTTGCACACAGCTATATGAATCAACCAATGATGAGCTTATAATCACTTACCAGACATTTCAAGCAACAAATCTTTAACTTGCCAAAGAAATATTGTCAACCCATAGCAAGAGAGTCCTTGTTGGGCTATCGAAAAGATCAAATCGATATTAACAAACTTGTTGGGGAAGTGGGCCGCTTGCATTAATAGATCTTTACCTGCTGTCAGGGGAAGATGGTAGTGATATTGTTGGAGAATGCACATGGATTTCCCTGGAGAATCACCATGTTCCTTCCTTCTGAAGATGTAAATCTTTCTTGTGCAAAAATAAATGCCCTATTTATCTAGCATTCACAATCTGAAGAGACCCAAAATACTGCTTGGGGGCCAAAATTCAAGTCGCGACCACCGGGGAAAGAGTTTTGAATAGGCGAAGAGTTGGCGAAGAGAGTTAGGACTCTGTTCTTCCACAAGAAATAACTCAGTGGAGAAAGCAAAATGATGAACACTTTCTGTTTAAAGCTGACATTCAAGACTCCCAATCCTATCATATGTATATGAGCAATGATTTAAAGTTATGAACAATGTATGAATAAATGAATGTGAGATGCATATGGACATCCTATTAAGGGCCAACAAGGAAGATCCAACAGTGCACGAACAACACCCGGCCAACATAAAATCTTCACGAATTGTGGATTGAAATGCAGCCTCCTATCAAATTAGATTGCTCGAATAGCAGGCATATTGCAAAAACTTCTAGGCTTATTTAAGTAAAAGCATCTCATGGAGATGTCATCGCGTCCTATCAGGGCGTTATTGGAGCAAACTCTTCTGGGAAGAAATAAGATATTTCGGGGAAACAATTTACTTTTCACTTGGATCTCATGCTCGGGAGAAGGAATGCTACAAGAGTCCCATCGAGGTCAAATTTAACATCATCAATCTTGTTTGATATTGGGATAATGCCATTTTGTCCTCTTGCATCACATCCGAAGTAAACACACTCTAAAATTGTAAAAAATTCACAAGTATGTCTAACGAATCTGTTTGTTTTGAAATATATTTTCAGTAATAAAAGAATATTTTTATAAACTGAATAAAATAAGATTGGAAAGGAATTGGATAAAGGCTCAAATTTTATTGATAGAATGGTAGCCTGCCAATAGCACGACTCCATAGATGATTATAAAGTTTGAAAAATGGTAAATACATGGAAAAGGTACGTCGAAAGCCAATGAGCCATATTCTACCTAACAACTTTGAACTCCTGTATTGTAGTCTTCAGTTGAGGTAATAACATGATCCATGCAAATTGTTGCTTCTACGATCAAGTCTTGTCTGATGTAGTTACTTTCCATACAAGTCCCTAACTTTTTCCTAGACTGCCCTTGCGGGTTTTCAGTCTACCGGGAGGTTTATTCTGTTTATGTCTCTAACTTTTGCCTAGACCGCCCTTTCGGGTTTTCAGCCTACCGAGATGCTCCTTTTTGCCTAAGTCGCCCTTTCAGGTTTTCAACTTAGCGAGCTGTTCTTTTATTTATTTAGGCGAAGTATTTCTTGACTACATCAGCGTTCAGAGGGCGTGGAAACTCCTCACCATCCATAGTTTCAAGAATCAATGCACCGCCAAAGAAGGCTTTCTTGACAACATATGGCCCTTCATAATTGGGAGTCCACTTGCCTCTAGAATCAGAGTTTAAAGAAATGATCTTTCTGAGCACGAGATCGCCTTCTCTGAATACACGAGGTTTGACCTTTTTATCAAAAGATTTCTTCATTCTTTTCTGGTACAACTGACCATGAAATAAAGCGGTCATTCTCTTCTCTTCAATTAAATTCAACTGGTTAAACCTATTATGAATCCATTCAACATCAGATAATTTAGCTTCCATAATTACACGCAAAGATGGAATCTCAACTTCAATGGGGAGCACTGCTTCCATGCCATATACAATAGAGAAAGGGGTTGCACCTGTTGAAGTACAAACTAAAGTCCGATACCCATGCAAAGAAAAAGGTAGCATCTCATGCCAATACTTATAAGTAACAACCATCTTTTGGATAATCTATTTGATGTTCTTGTTTGCAGCTTCAACTGCCCCATTCATCTTGGGTCTGTATGGTGAAGAGTTGTGATGGACAATCCGAAATTCTTCACAAAGTTCCGTCATCATCTTATTATTCAAATTTTATCTGTTGTCAGTAATGATTCTTCTTGGCGCACCATACTGACAAATGAGATTGTTCTTGATAAACCGGACTACCACTTGCTTGGTAACATTAGCATAAGAAGTTGTTTCAACCCATTTGGTGAAGTAATCGATTGCTACCAAGATGAAACGATATACATTTGAGGATTTGGGCTCAATCATCCCAATCATATCAATACCCCACATAGCAAAAGGCCATGGGGAAGAAATAACATTGAGAAGTGTAGGAGGCACGTGAATCTTATCAGCATAAATCAGACACTTATGGCATTTCTTTGCAATATTCAGCGAGATTTTGCAGGTTAGTTGACACCGGTTTATTACACTGTATGCCAACCAGCGTATGTATCTAACTGTTTTAGGCAAACCAATTGAATAAAAAATTATTAACTAATTAATGAGTATTAAATAATTAATGAGTATGTATTCCATGTATAAAATAGGGTGTGAGTGTAAAATATAGTTTCAAATCGACATATCTCTTAAAAAAAAACCTTAGTAGTTTTTCTATTATTTAAATTTCAAAATTTTATACAAATGATAATAATCTATAATATAAGAAAATTAATGGTTGTGGAAAACTCTTTTTTACACTTTCTTATATTTTTGACAAATCACTATTTTAAGGGCATTTTTGTCTAAAGTAACCAAATCTTGACTAAATGTTATATTTGGTTGCAACCTAAACACTATTTCCTTCTATTTTGTTTTGTAACACATTTTTTATTGTTTATTTGACAAACTTTTCTTTAGATACCAAACAGTTTTTGGTTCACTTACCACAATCTATTGAATCGTCACATCTCTCTCTTCTCATTAAACTGAACTTTTCTCCCAATCTCTCTCTTCTCTTTCATCTCTTCTTAATATCTCTCTTTCCTTTCATATCATCTTCATCTAAGCATCAATAACCAGAATTAGTTTCATATTCAACATGGCTAGACCGTTTGAGTTCTTCAAAGACATCAATGCTGCGCCTCTCTCTTCATTTCTCAACTCTTGCGCCTCTATCTTCACTTCTCTGATCTTGGTTATCATCGTCCTCAACCAAAAAAACTGGTTTCAACAACAACCCAGCTGGTAAGTTCTGATTTTCATTATTAACTATTTCAAACTTTCTGGTTTTGATAAATATTTGTAGATTTAGGGTTTTTTTCCCAACTATGATGTTATATTGGTAACTATGAAACTTGTTTGTTGGAATCAGATCTATCTGCTTTTTAGTTAAATTTTTTTCTTACTAAAATAATGTTTTTGTTTTGAAATTAGGTTTGTTGGTGTGAAT